CATCATTTTTGTCTACATGCGCGATCTTTTATTTTTATAAGCCAAGTCAAGACCAACTAAACCAAAACAACAGAAGTGTTTCAGAGTAATTTTGTAACTTTTAATTATCATCAAGTTTTCCTTTTTTGAAGATTTTGGCAACTTTAGAGTTATCTGGTCAACGCCAGTCTCCTCTAAAGTTATCCAGCCAAAGTGAAGAGCATTAGAGTTTATTTCGCGTCAACCCGCAAGAGACGCCAGCAGATATCACCTGCAGAGAAACCGAGCAGAAATCAAGATTGCCTGAGACAGAAAGTCTCCTGGCAAACTCCACCAGAGCTGAATTGCTGAGACACCGGCAGAATCCGTCATCGTGATAACGGGACATAACGGGCCTCCAGGAGAATCCACCTAGATCCCGCGTCTCCGGGGTTACCACGGCAACCACAGCCACCTGGGTTCCAGCCAATTTACTCTGTAGATAGTAGTTTAGTTAAATAAACTCCTTTATTTACACCCAGTTGTTGTCCTCTTGTATTCTTTTGATGTAGAGACTGGAGATCCATTGAATCGAGAAGTCATGGCTTCCGATATGAGATTGATAAATTTGGCAATGAAGTAATTCATTGTTGTCCTCCCAGAGGACTGGTGCCCCATTTCAATGAGAGTAAATTCTAAAATATGGCGTTAACCCTACAGTTTAGTTAGACCACAAAAAAGGGTTTCCTCAACTCGGAAGATATCTTAGAGGCAGGAGAGACAGGCCATTGACTAGGATCAAAGTGGAGGAATGCAGGGCCTCTGTTAGATCAATGTGTTGTGGTTAGGTCTTTGAGTGGCTTACCTCAAGTGATATCATCTGCATGGTTTTGTTTTGAATCCACATACCTCCAGGTTGAAGTCAGTTCAAGTATTTCCACAATTCTGTTAGCCACAAAGGCTTTGTACCTGCAGGACTCAGAGTGAAGCCATGGGTTAGTAAAATGGTGTTATCAGACTACAGATAAGTTTTGTCAATGGGAACTGTCAGATCAGAGTTGATCAATTTACTGAGCTGTGCTCCAGTCAAGGTTACAGATAACTCCAGACGGGGTATAGTTAGTTCCCTCAGAAGAGCTGTACCAGATCTTGCCAAATGAGACATTGGTCTCTCCTGTCTGGTTTTCTTGTTTTTATGTATGCTTCTGAACCATATGATCTTTCAGAAGCATCACAGAAAATGTGTAACTCTCTGTCTTTCACTTCAAAGGAAATGTGAGAGTTGTCATCATTATACTATCTGGGGAAGGAGATGTTAGCCAGGTTCTCCCATTCCTTCCAGGCTTTCAGATCACCAGTGGATATAGGCTGATCCCATTGCTTACCCAGAACTGCTGGAGCAAGACTTTGGCTCTTGTGGTGAATGGAATGGTGTAGCCTATCAGGTCATATTGTGAAGCCAAAATTTTTTACACATTTCTCATTGTTAGGTTTGTTAGGAAATGGGTCTATGTCTACAGCCCAAGGTGTCAGAACCACCGTGCCAGCTCTTAGTGTGCCCTCTATTGGATCTATTCTGTTTTGATTCAGCCAGAGCTCAGCACTGTCAGATCTAGCAGCTGATGGTAAGTGGTCAACAACAGATGGGAAGTTACTAGCCCCTGGCCTTATTTCAAATCCACCATCAGATAACAAGGCCCTTATCTTGAGAAGAAGTTGTTTTGCTTCATCAGGGCAGGGAAGTGACATAAGGCAGTTGTCCACATAGAAGGAACCAAGGACAGTGTCCACTACATCCTCATTCCTCTCACTGTCATCATTGCACATCTCTGCAGCATATGTTGCATGGCAGGAGCTACTTGTTGTGTCAAATGGGAGCACTTGCCATTCATACACAACTGGAGTCTCTTTGGGTTGCATGTCAAGCCACACAAACCTGAGAAGTGGCTTGTCTTCTGATAGCAGCCTTACTCAATGAAACATCCCTTTAATATCCCCACTTAGAGAGTCGGGGTAGCTGATCATTCAGTACTTGTCCATGAAAGGTGAAAGAGCAGTTAAATAAAACACAATGTCTCTCATTATGTTCCACTAGGTGATGGGAAATATACCATGACTCTTATGACTCAGAAATTTGTCCTGAACTGAGTTTAGCAACATAACCAGCCTGGTCTAGTTTGTAGATCTCACTATTGTAGATTACTTTTTTCAAGTTTGCGCTCAGATCAACAGAGCTGGGCCATTATTGATTCTACCGGGGCCTTCAGTTTGCATGCATCTCGCTTTCCTAGCAGGGGGGTTGCATAGTGTTTGGTTCCATCTATATCTACTTATATGGTCTTTTCATGTAAAAGATCCATGGCCTCATCCTGTTTTGATCTGGTGATCAATTTCTCATTCCTAAAGGGAAGGGTATCAGCTTGCCACAACTGTTGAACATGTCGTTTCAATTCAGTATAGGGATTTTCTTGTGAGGTGAATAGGAACTGGATAGAATCTGGTCTCACCAGGAGAAGTAGGTTCTTGTAATACCCATCCCAAGCTCGTCCTTACAGAAGCTGGTGCTCCCTTTGGACCATATCTGACCCTTTCAATAGGGTTGACGAGGAATGGATTGTTTGATCCATGAGGATGTGTGGTTGGACCTTGGAAAAGGTGTTCAATGGGAGACCATGTAGATGTGGATAACATTGCTTTAGTTTATCCACAGGATAACTCTGCTCAACAAACATAATCATGTCAGAGGTGAATGCTTTGTAAATTGAGAACTTTTTCTCAGAGCAAGAAGCAGCAGCAGAAATTTTCAGCTTTACAGATTTGTCTTCTAGTGTTTCTGTATGCTGTCTCATTGTACAAAGCTTGAGCTTTTCTGGCACTCCCTCCAAACCCAGATACTTAGCTGCACATAGCAGCAACTGATTTTGTGCATGAATGCGTTCATATTTTTAGTGAATGCTGAACTGAACGAATCAGTTTACAAATGATGAACGTGAGCACCATTTTACAACAGTTTTACGGCACACCACATGACGTCTCCATAGACACGGCCCAGCTTGGCTGGTGCTAGCGGTACAGGCGGTGCAGGCGGTGCAGGCAGTGGAGGCAGTGGAGGCGGTGGAGGCGGTGGAGGCGGTGGAGGCGGTGGAGCCAGTTTGAGCATTTGAAGCAGTTTTATGAACAAACAAGTGAAGACTCAGATGGATTATATTTATTTACAGATTTTAAATGTAACTAATGACTGTGATTCTTCAGTGGTGTACAATAATTAATTTGGTTTGGGAGTAGCAATGATTTGGGGCTGGTGATGGATGGGTTGAAGGAGGTTGAAAAAGAATATCGGCCTTTATTTATTTAAAAAAAAATTGAATAAATGAACGTGAACTAGTTCATTTTTGAAACTGTGAACTTAGTTCAAAATTTTTAAAAATTGAACTACGAACGTGAAGAAGTTCATTTTCATCTGTATGAAATGAACTTTGAATTAGTTCTTTTTAAGTGTGAACTGGCACAACACTGACAGCAACATAGTATGCTCAGATCCATCATCTAAGATAGCATAGGTATCAAATGTCTTATACTTGTGGTTAAGTCTTACTTTGACTACTTTAAGTAGTATTCTGGGTGACAGACTCTGTGGGTTCATGTACAGACTTTGGATGTTGTTCGAGTTCTGTTAACATCATGCAATATGCCTAGGTGCTGGCCATTACATTTAGAGCAAGGCTTGCTCAAAGTGCAGTATGCTGCTTTATGATCTCAGCCACATATCCAACATCTGCTGCGCTCCTTTAGCCATTTTGCCACTGCTTAAGACTTTCAGATTTTTACAGTTTGTAAGGTAATGAGAGGTAGATTGGCAATATGTACAGGGATACCTTATATGAAGTTGTGGCTCCCTTTCTGGTGCAGTGTAGCTCAGTGAAGAATGGTGGTTGATGGCTGCAGCATTCCCACTAATGATCTCACTCTAATTGCAAAGTTGTGAAACCCCTCAGCATCTCCATAGCAACTTAAGGGAGATTTAACATTGTCTGTATGTATTTCCTTCAAGGCTAGTTGATGTGGCTGCTGTCACTCTAATGCTGCCAGGGCCATGGTAAAGGGTCATGGGTCATGGGTCATGGACATAGGATAGTGCAATTTGGCATGCTGAGAGAAGATATAGGTGATCCAAAAAAATTTAATATTTGTACATTTCAGGCTCCTCTACTGGTAGGTTAGTGAGGGTCATCTTCAACATTAAAAATTCATAAGGCGTGTTATGGCTGAAATTAGGGAATGAGGGTTCCTCAACTTGTGAATATCTTGAACCCATCATCTGCTGTACAGGAACCACAGGCAAAGAAAAGGTTAGAGTAGGGGAAACTCCATTGTGCTGTAGGGCATTTGAAACTGGGGATCAAGATATTATGATTGAGGCTGCAGTACAGACTGCTGAAGTACATTCTGATATTGGTATGGAGCAATATTATGTGGAAGGGAGGCATAATGCCTCAAACCAGTTGACAAAACATGAGGAACAGTAGTGGGTGGAATCTTACTGAATATGATGGGACCCTGTGCTTGTGGTAGCTGACTATGAAGGTTATGGGTTGTCCGACCTGTGTTAGGCCCTTGGGCTGATACAGACAGGTACACTTGATGTGGCAGCACAAGGGGGGGAGACATGGTGGCACTTGAGCCAGTGGCAGATGAGTAGGTACCATTTGAATAAGCACTTGAGAAGCTAGAAGAGACAAAGGAGGCTGGCTTACTTGCATATGGGTAAGGGATACTAGATGAAAAAAAAAGAAAAGAAAAAAGAAAATATTGTTTATGGGGCACCCAGCAATATCTTTGTATTATTTCATTTAATTCAGCTTTACATCAAATAGCATCTGCACCCTTCTTATGCAGCCAACGTGCTGGTTTAATATGATCTCTGGCTGCAGTGTTCGGCTTCCGCCACCAAGTGGCGCTTTGGAGTAAGTACGGCCTCGAACTGCTCACTGCAGTAAGGAGCTTATCTTGCTATCACTACGCTAGTACAAGTTTCCTGTCGGACATTTTAAGGGAAACACAACTCGGTTCACGTGGGTCTGGACACGGCTGATCTCAGACGTTGAAGGGAAGGTGAGTGAGTAATTGTGGTTATTAGATGTCCCCAATGCAAACCTTTGACATCAACAACATACAGAGTGGAGCAGGTTGTTGGCTGAACACCGGGTGTTGCTGACAGTTCCCTCTGCCTGTCAGCCGACAACACACACACACACACAGGGAGGAACACCACAAAATATTTTAATTATTTCTAAGAAATACTGTTTGACAACGATATAATCTTCACTGACATCAAGATGCCCAGTTTGCCAGCACAGAGTTGTTAGTCATGACAAAACCAAAGCTGCACTTGTGAGGCTGTGTGATGCTCCTTGTTTGGTGATCTGTGATTACGGTTGAGTCTGTCGAACAAACGTGAGTTGCCATGTAAACTGTGTTTACTAACTTAAAAATTACAGGAGGCTAAAAACAACACAGTTCTCCGGTCCTAAACTTTCATTGTAGACAATATAAACCGTCAGCAGGAATAATAAAAAAAATAGAGTGATTAAACGGCATTCAAACCCCCTGGTCAACGGATCGACTAGTCTGCCTGTAACCCGCCCTACATGGTGAGCCTGAAGGCACCAGCAGGAATGAAGTAGTGCATCTGACTCCAAACCACAGGCCTTCAGGAAGAAGCTGAGAGACTTTCAAAATCCAGACTCAGCTGAGGGAGAGGGAGATCACCAGATTCAGCCTTATTTCATGTCAGCATCACACTGATGGTATCTTTGTTTTTCTTCCTTAGGTTAAAATGCCAAAGAAAAGCAAAACAAAGAATGTGAAGAGACGGAGTAGTGATGATGAGCAGCTCCAACCTAAACTGAGCAGGGTAGAGCAAAGCGACACTCCAGCCCCTCTGTGCTTCCAAAGCCCTGTCAGCTTGTTCGAGAGCCTCATCCAGCCAATGGGGACAGAGCAGTTCTTCAGGGAGTACTGGGAGAAGAAACCTCTCCATCTTCAGAGGTCTGATTCAAGCACAGCATCCTACTACCAGTCTTTGTTCCAGCTTTCTGACCTGCAGAGCTTGTGCTCTCAGGGTCTGAGTTACTACAGGGACATCAATGTCGTTCGCTGCATCAATGGCAAGAAAAAAGTGCTCAACAAGGAAGGGCAAGTGAAGAGCAGTGTTCTCAATAAGTACTTGGTTCAGAATAAGGCCACCATCCAGTTCCACCAGCCACAGAGGTTCAAGGTGAGAGTGCTGCCCACAGAGAATATCGTGTTGTCTTTGGGCCAAATTATGTTACTGCTAATGTTAATTCATCTGTCAGTTAATTACTTACAATACATTCCTTAAACTTGCACCTAATTAATATTTGTATACTGACAACAGGACACTGTGTAATGTGAAGAGGGTCAAACATAGTGATGAACCCTCTTACATCTTTTCCAAATATTTAGACATGGTGTTCAAATGTAATGTTTGCTTCTGTGATGGAGCTTTAAGAAAAGCAACAGTATCATCAAATATATAATAATTTATTCTGTGAATGCCTGCATCAGTTTTCATGTAGATAGATTCAGTATATAGAGACATACACTCACCGACCACTTTATTAGGTACACCTGTTCAACTGTTTGTTAATGCAAATATCTAATAGGCCAATCACATGGCAGCAACTCAATGCATTTAGGCTATTAGACATGGTCAAGACGATCTGCTGAAGTTCAAACAGAGCATCAGAATGGGGAAGAAAGGTGATTTAAGTGACTTTGAACGTGGCATGGTTGTTGGTGCCAGACGGGCTGGTCTCAGTATTTCACATCTACTGGGATTTTCACACACAACCATCTCTAGGGTTTACAGAGAATGGTCCAAAAAAGAGAAAATATCCAGTGAGCGGCAGTTCTCTGGGTGCAAATGCCTTGTTAATGCCAGAGGTCAGAGGAGAATGGCCAGACTGGTTCGAGCTGATAGAAAGGCAACAGTAACTCTCATTACAACCGAGGTATGCAGAAGAGCATCTCTGATCGCGTTGAACCTCGAACCTCGAAGCAGATGGGCTACAGCAGCAAAAGACCACACCGGCTGCTATCCTGTCAGCTAAGAACAGGAAACTGAGGCTACAATTTGCACCAAATTTAGACAATAGAAGCTTGGAAAAACGTTGCCTAGTCTGATGAGTCTCGATTTCTGCTTTCTGTTCAGGCTGGTGGTGGTGGTGTAATGGTGTGGGGGATATTTATTCGTCGGTGAGTGTATGGTATGAGTCAAAACAAATGTCCATTGCTGTCACTAGAGGAAGGGTTGGGGCTTCACCAAAGACAAAGAATACATCATCTATGAACCAGCACCACTTGTGGATATTTAATTTAAACCACAACTGCTGAACTTAAATGTCATTGACTCACCAACTTTGCCTTGTGTTTGATAGTTTTCAAGATGATTCACTGAAAACCAAAACTGACAACTTTCAGTAAACTCCAAAGTCTGCTGGCTTTGTCACCATTGTATATAAAATACAATTATAACAATCCATGAAGTACTTGCTGAGATATTTGGTGGTCGGAAATATGGTTGGATGGACACATTTGATTCACTAGAGGCCAGTGACTAGTGAGTGATTGTGATCAGAGGGGCAGGTCAGGGCTGCGACTCCCTGTGGTAGGAGACAGGTCAGTAACACTTCCCACCAGTTACCTTGATTGTACCAACAGGACAGTTTACCTCAGGGTTAAGTAGAGGCGACATATCACAGCAACAGGTAACTGCTCCCTTCATAATACTGTGTGTGGCCGTGCCATGACAGTAAGTCAGTTAATCTTATTTAGAGCAATCATAAGTTATCATAATCATCATCATGTAACAAGAAAGGTGACACTGTCCTATAACAACAAAATGAGACAAAGGTGTCAGACAACACTCAGAGAGAATTAATTGATTTATGTCACTGTTGGCTTGATGGGAAATCAGTAGGATGGGCAGCCAGCTCCGCTCATACATCTTTTATAGTACATGTCCTGACTCAAGAATGTGAATTTGTGTTCTATCCCACTCCGTTGGATAATTCTAACACGGACACTAAATCTGTCAAAATGATCAGATACCGAAACCTGATCCTTGTTTCAATCTCAATTTGCTGCACTAACAATAATACTTTATTCATAGAGAATATATTTTATCTCCGGTCTGTGTGGGTACATGGTTGTAGTTATACATTTTTATTTTGCTTTGCTGTACACTGCTGTTTGGATTATGGAGTGGAGGTGCATTGGCCCTTTAAGAGTGATTTTTCTTTTTTCCCTGCAGTCAGTCCCAAAGCAGTGACCTGCCACAGGTCAAAGAATATTCCCACGCCCTACTTAGCCACCGAACACGACCTGCTCGGCACTAGAAAGGAGACACGGGTAAAGACTGGCAGGTGAACATAGTGGAACGTTGAGAGCCATGTGTATTTTCTGGACTTGGATTCATCAAGAGGACACAAGCACAGCTCTAAATAAATACTAATGTAACTTGACAACTGTTCACCATAAAGACTTTAAAAGGTGACGTCAGGCCTCAGCTGTGCTTCACTTCTGTATTATAGACTCATTCTAAAAGGTTTTTGTGTTCACTCTTGAAAACTGACTTCACCGACTTGAGAACACTGAAAAATATCAGTATGTCAATAAAAAAAACATTCGATTTACTATTCTCCCACAATGCAGTTGCACAGCAAGCAAGCTACGAAATGGAGGACTGTGGCAAACCAAAGTGCTCATTAATAAATAAATTAAGACCTTATGACATCAATAATCTGAAGCAGAAATACAGACAAAATAAAGGACTAACTGTTTTCATTGGCTACGTGGTGAAATAGTTTCGGTGTACCTTAAATATGTGCTGGTGCACGTTTTCATTTAGGTGGTAGAGCACTTACCACCTCCTGATAATGTCAGGTCTGGGCCCTTCAGGGTCAGGGACAAGTGTGACTGGCACCGCGGAATTTGTCTGGATGAAAAAACATTCAGTAGTTTTGTTTATATTGAATTAGAGGTGTGTTTTAAGGTTGTAATGTCGCTCGAGGAGCCCACTGCACAGTTTCACACAGACACACACACACACACACACACACACTGAATATTAGGGTCAGACCCAATCAAAGGCAGATTTGGGGCAAGTCTTTGCAGAATGCAGGTGGGGAAAAAATAACACCACACACACACAGACCTGCTGAAAGCCAGATGACCGACCAACGAAAATGTTTAGTTGCACTAGACAGATTATGGTTGCACTCTGCAGCCCTGAAATGTATGATAAAACTGACATCATCCAACACATTTAACTCAGCCCATAACTGAAAAGTTATTTCATCCAACTACTTGAAACAGCAGCAGTTATGTGAATGGAGAGTATTCTATACAAGATAAAAAAAAATAAAACAATAAAAGAATTTTGCAGATAAACAAGATTTGGAATGATGAAACATTCAGTGGCAAATTTAACATGATCTCAGTGATATCCCAACCTCCAGCAAATGAATGACGACTTCCTACAGCAGCATGTATCAGACCAGAATATATACCACTGCTGATATTTTTCTAAATGACATTACATTCATAAAGCACATTCAAAGTAAGTGTATTCAGCCTAATGCAGTCAAATAAACGTGGTGAAAATCTTTTCAACAAACCTCAGATCAGACACTTCAATGAAGCTTTGTCAGAAGTAGCTCATGTGGTTTTCCTGTGTGTTGCCAGGATGAATTGTGGAGGATCCAGGAGAAGCTCGAGAGTTTTTTTGGAGCCTTGGTGGGATCCAATGTCTACATCACACCACAGGAGTCCCAGGGTCTTCCAGCTCACTATGATGATGTTGAGGTACAATAATGAATCTGTGACTTGACTTCATATTTACAGCATACCCTCATTCAGTTTATTAGGAACACTTAGCCAAAACTGATGTCCTGCAATAAATCCTTCTTCATGAAGGTTATAATGTTTTATAATGATAAAAGTAATAATAATAATGATAATTAAGAAAAAAGTTGTTGAGATGTTCAATTTTCTGTATCATTTTGGAGAATCTAGTTTGTGCTGCTGTACTGCACTGCGATAACAAAGCAGTACACCTGGCAAGAAAGGATTACTTTTCCACGATTATTACAGAGAACATGGGGAACTCTACATTATAATTCTCTGTTCCAATGTTTAGCTCAGGACTGTAAAGGTTTAGCCCACATTTTCTAACCTTGTCAGCAGAATAATCGATGCAACACAATGCAATTTTAGTGACTTTAATGGATAGGACAGTGAACAGGAAACACAGGGACAGAGAGTAGGGGAATGACATGCTGCAAAATGTCAAACCCGCCGGGAATTGAACAACTGACTACTCAGAAAATATGCAATAGCAAGCACCTTAACCACTTAGCTATCTGATCGTGTCAATCATGTTAGCAGTTTTTATTATCAGGAAACCCTGTGGCTCACACACTGCACGGCAAGTTTATTTATGTAACATCAGAATATTCACACACATATGAACACAGGCCAGATGTCATCAAGGACACCACCAGTCTTCAGTCATGGTGAGTAAATTACTACTGAAACACTGCGTGTTGTGTCCTTTTTGTCAAAGGTTTCTTTTGATCTCTGATTGAAATTGATCTTGCCGTTTTCCATGTTTGATAGTTAAGGCTGATAACTGGTGAAATTTAGGACAATCCCAGGGCATGATAACTGTAAGCTTCATCCACATTTCCTTTCAAATGTCACACTGACCATTTTTAGCATAAATAGTAAAACAAACTGTAAACTGGCGAAGCTGTGAGTTGACAGTGTCCAAAACAGTTGGTTGCAGTGAATTCCAGCTGCACTGTAAAACAGCCAATTCATATACGTAGACCTAATAATCTTTGAATTTACAAAAGTTGTTTTAATATTGAAAACAACACATACAATACTCTTTAGTAGACTTTGTGGTCACACAAAGACAGTTTGAGGAACACTAAATTTAAAACATGATATTTTAACTAATTTACTTGTGGACCACTAGAGGTCGCTTGCGGACCACTGGTGCGGACCACACTTTGAGAACTGGCTGCATTTTCATGCAACTCCAGTGCTCAAAATATCTGTGCTTTGGTTACAGCTACTAAGTCTTAGAACTTTCATTTGTTTACTTTTTTTAGGTGTGATGAAGTAACAAATTAGATTTAGATTTAGCCATAACATAGTTTTGACTCCTTTCTAGATGTTTGATAAATCAAACATAAATACAGGACTGACACAACTCTGGAGATAGCTTTACAGTATCTTTGTACCAGTACCTTTATGACCGGGTGTATTGGGTCTTCATTTTTCTTGATTTTTTTTCATATAATAGTCCCTTATTTGAAAATGCCTACTACATTCTGATTTATTATGTTATACATGTTTTTAGTTCTTGAAATGTTCTCATTTCACCCTTTTGTGTTACCATGCATATGGCTGTTATACCCTTCCTCATCCACTGTTTAAATCTAAAGTCAGACTTTCCTGGTTTAAATTCCTCATCAAAAGCGATCCATTTTAACGGTCCAAGTTCCTTTCCCAATTTTAGCCATTTAGCAGTGGAATACCATGTATCAAGAGTAAATTATGTTATTGGGTCTAAATCTACCACATCTTTTATATGGGCAGGGGTCTCTCTTTCTCCAATGCTTGCTTGAATCAGATAGTTGAATGCAGGCATTTCAATATCTTTCCATTCGGCCACATAATCTGTACCAATAAATAAATTACAATAAATAAGTGGACCCAGTTGTGTTGCATAAAAATACCACTTCCTTTGGCTGAGGTGTTGTACAGCCCGATGGCAGTGGGAACAAAGGATCTCCTGGACCTCTCTGTTCTGCAGCGCAGTGAGATGCGCCTGTAGCTGCTTCTCTGTCCTGCCAGAATGTTGTGGAGAGGATGGTTGGTATTGTGTTGGTTGGTACTGCTGCCCCAGCAGACTGCAGAATAAAAGAGTACACTGGCCACCACTGACTGATAAAAAATGCAGCATTTCAGTGCAGATGTCAAAGGACTTGAGCTTCCTGAGTAAAAAGAGCCAGCTCTGCCCCTTCAGGTACAGTAGATGGCATCCATGTTCAGGAACCAGTCCAGTTTACTGTCCAGGTGCACACCTAGGTATTTATAAGTGTGCACCACCTTAATGTCCTTCCCTCGAATGTTGACTGGCTGAATGGTGGGCCTATACCTCCGAAAGTCCATGACAATCTCCTTGGTCTTGGAGGTGTTCAGAAGGAGGCAGTTCTTGTCGCTCCATTCACTGAAGGCCATCGTCAGATCCCTGTACTCAGCAGGTCGCCCTACTTTAGGGACAGGAACAAGACATGATGTTTTCCACAGGACCGGGACGCTCCCTGTTTGAAGGCTTAAGTTAAAGATACTCTGGAGAGGCTCAGCCACCTGGGCTGCACAGTCCTTTTACAGCCTCGGACACACTCCGTCCACACCTGTTGCCTTTCCAGGACGTAGCCTCTTGAGCTCCGCCCTCACTTCCTCTGCTGTAAAGGACAGGAGACTTGACCCCAGTGTGGAGGGAATTGCAGCTGCAGTGTCAGGTTGTGAAGGAGATGCCGTAGGAGAAGCTGCAGCTGAAGCAGTGGGAGGGAGAACAGGTGAGGCTGTGTCAAACCTGTTGTAGAACAGGTTGACCTCATTGGCCTTGTCCACATAACCTGATGTTGCCTGACTGTTCTTCTCTTTATAGCCAGTGATGGTCCTCATCCCCTTCCACACCTCTGTGGTGTTGTTGTGCTGCAGCTTCCTCTCTACTTTCTTTTTGTTGTCCTCCTTTGCCTGCTGTAATCTCCTCTTCAGCTCATGTTGCACTCCCTGTATCCATCCCTGAAGGCCTCCTTTTTCTGGTTGAGGAGGGTCTTGATGTTACTGGTGATCCCGGGTCTGTTGTTTGGAAAGCCGTGTACAGTCCTTGCTGGTATTACAGTGTTTGCATTCATTGAAATCTCTTCTGGAAGCCATTTGTCCATAAACAGTGCAACCGAGTCTGGCTTCGACCCGACGTGCTCCTGTAAGCCATATACTCTATAATAAAAATTATTCCGTCTGGACCTCAATAACAGATCATGTAGTTTATCCATCATGGTTTTCTGCTCTTTCATTATTTCTTGCAGTGCAGTATTTACCTCTGAACTCCACAACTCAACTTCTTCACCGCTTGTCTCACAAAGTATGCGTGCCATTATTATGAGTTAATCACGTGCCCTCAAATGATCAGATATTTCCATTGGTGCATAGTTATGCTAGGCTGGCACATGCTAACAAAACAGAGATCATATGCTTTCAGCAAAGCAGCAGTTATCGTCAGTGTAATGCATTAATAATGTCATAGTATAACCACCACCCTAATCATGCTCATCATTTACAAATTAAGCTGTCTCATATAAAGTTATGTAGACTTTCATTAAAATATAAATGATCTCAGATGAACACACTGACAGTTAACTTGACTTTGTGAATGGAGCCTCCATGCAAAACAGTGATTTACATGTACTGGTCTAATTCCTCAGTAAAACCAATGGGAGGCACTGAGCCCAAGTAAGATATCAATCTTGCCTCTGTTTGTAAGAGACAATTTGGATGAATATTGGATGACATATTGGATGAAATGTGCAGTGAGGGCCATCATAAGACAGCTCACTGATTGGACTGCACACACACAAACTGATCATGTAGTCAGCCAGGCTCTTTGAAAATGTACCTGTTCAAATGATTGAATTGGTGGGATTCCGCACAAGAATGACCACTGAATATGGTCATTCCACTAGTCAGGGAGCACACAGGAGAAGAGTTTGGACTGACACGTCCTGCTTTGCAGTGATGGTAGGATTTAGTCATCATTCATTGCCAGATCATAGTGAACGAGAAGGCTCGTGAACCTGAATAAGGGATTTCAGGTAGTTGTAGCAATGAAAAAATATGTAACATGTTTCAAATGTGTTTCGAATATGAAAGAACTTTAATGAGAGTGCAGTTCCTCAACATCAACATCGACGTCAATCAGTCACAAAAGCCTGCATGTGGGAAGTTTGCAATACAGACCCTGATCAGCTGATAGCAGGATACTTGGAGGTCTCAGTGCATTTTGTCCTTATGCTGATGGTGCTCTTTGCCCAGGTATTTATCCTGCAGCTGGAGGGACAGAAACGGTGGCTTCTCTACAATCCTACTGTTAGACTGGCAGCAGAGTACAGCCTGGAATCAGCGGAGCGGATCGGCAGCCCTACCCATGATATTATACTTAAGGTACAGCTCCATCTAATTATACTTAAGGTACAGATCCATCCATCCATCCATCCATCCATCCATCCATCCATCCATCCATCCATCCATCCATCCATGTTGAAACTTGGTTTGGTGATGTTAATGTGGACAAAATAATAGAAACACATGCTCAGTCTAACACAGTACAGTAACACAGTACAGTCACAGTACATAGAGGGCAAGAAAGAGAAATGGGAGGCAGACCGTTCAGTCAAAGCTAATATCAGACTTCAACTTCCAACTTTATCATGTGAGTATCAATCATCCTCTCTCTCCACAGGCTGGAGATCTTCTGTACTTTCCCAGAGGCACCATCCATCAAGCCAGCACTCCAGCAGGAGTGGACCACTCCACCCACTTGACTCTCAGCACTTACCAGAGAATGTAAGAGAGCTCCTCTTCTCCCTCACTTTAACGTTGTGTCTACACAGGAGGCGTAGTGCACATCTTCACACAACACGCAATCATTGTAGTTCTGTATGTAAAACAAGAAAACAGACTTGAAGCATAAAAATATGATTGAGGTTGCACGAAGTCATGTACAATAGAGAGTCAGTACAGTGGAGTCACTGCTTATCCCAATGTTTTTCTAACATCTATTGGAATTTTACATGTGCCTACCAATTTTTTGTATATATAGGTGAAACCGCGTGGATAGGAACGGCCTAGTTGAAATTTTGTTGGTGTAAATTTTCACCAGGCTAGTTTGCAAAGTTTCATGAGTTTTTGAACATGTTTAGGCCTCAAACAGGCAATTCATTTTTAGGAACCAAGGAAAATGATATATATATATATATATATATATAATTACTATTATCTGACAAATCCTTTTTATCTGGCAACTCTCAACTATCATTTTACAAGATGGCAACAGCAGATTGTTCAAATGAAATGCAAAAGAGAAGACTCTTTCAGCCATGGCAAGTGAAGTTGGTCATTCCAATAGTGTGATTTCTAGAGTATTGAAGCTTTACAATGACACTAATTCATTCAGTCCCCAAAAAATCCTGGTCGTCCTGACTTCCAGTGAAACCATGAAACCAACCTTTGAGACACAAAGAAATCCTTTTTATATTGCAGATGCGTTTGTACAGACAGGTGACCAGCAGGTGTATGGAAGTGTGAAAATAAATCTTGGCACTTGTTAGTTGTCCGTCTGTGAAGTGGCTGATAAAGAGTGACACTCTCTCACCTGTCCTTTCTACCTGTCCTTACCTCAGGTCATGGGGAGATCTGTTGTTGGACATATTTCCCAGTTTTCTATGTGACAGCAGCAGGACTGAAGTCAGCCTGAGAGAGGGCATGCCCAGAAGACTCTTACTGGTAAACTGTTTTGGTGCTTTCTATATACCTAGAAGGGTTTGTTTGATGTAAAGTTTGCCATCTGGAAGAACCTGCGCGGATCCTTGCGAGTTCTGTCTTGACATGCATATGCAGCCCAGATTTATGGACTGTAAGCACCATACCCACATGTGAACATGTCCATGTGCGTAATAGAAGTTGTATGGATTTTGGAAAACATCCAGCCTTCAACAGTAATCCAGATGCAAATGACAGTTTCACCCCATCATCACAATTAGGAACTAAGAAATGTTTTCACTCCCAGACTGATGTATTGTTTTGTAAAAGTCCTATATTGTAAAAGTGAGATGTCCATGTCTTTTTTCATTATAAAGCAGGTCTGGGTTCTATATTAATACTGTGAAAGTATCAAAGCGCTCAGTCCACAGAGAGATGCACACAGCCTCTATTCATAAACTGAGCTCCAAAACGAGCCATCAGGACTTCTGTAACTTTGTGATGTCACAACGAAGTGTGACAGCAACAGAGTGTTCACCTGCTATATTGCTATATTGTATTATATCACTCAGAAAACAGTGAGTTCACCAACCTGTTGTTACTAGAGCTCCAGAGAGAAGCCAGAAAGAAGAGATGTAAAACTACATTGAGATGGTTTTTGGTTCTTAAAACCTCAAATATATCTTCTTATGGATCAACACTTCAAATAAAACACTGGAAAAGTGTAAAATATGGGACCTTTAATCTATGAGCTGGCACTGGATCCTAAGACATTATTCACTGATCACTTCGGGCTGAATTCAGAATTAACAACTTAAAAATACCAGTTTGTGCTACAGGCCAACCTTTGCTTCGCACACACATCAATGAGCCTTGGGCGCCCATGAAACTGGCGCCAGTTCACCAGTGTCTTTACTTGGACCACTTTTAGTAGATACTGACCACTGCATACTAGGAACTGTTGTGAAGATCTCGCTCAGACCTTTACACTTCCCCAACACATCAATTTTAAGAGGTGACTGTTCACCTGCTGCCCACCATATCCTACCCCTTGACAGGTGCAATTGTAACAAGGTTATCAATGTTATTCACTTCACCTGTCAGTCGTTTTAACAGTGTGGCTGAATGGTGTGTATATGTATGTGTCTGTGTAGAATATGCAATATTTTTTGTTTTATTAGAAACTTGTTGTTGCTAGCTGTGCTTGAAGCTTTTGTCCCAAGAGTCACTTGCTCACTCACTCTCAGTAGTTGCTGTTTCCATGGGAAGCAATGGACCCACTCAAATTGAGGCTAGTGGGGTGGTGAGCTGAGATAATGTTTATACATGTCGGACAACACAAGGGGATTCTAGGAGTCGTTTTGCCATAAAATTGCACTTGCCTTTGGTCATCTCAACCAAAGGTGTAAACAGCCATTTTTATGGCTGTAGTTGGTGGAGCCAAAAATACAGACCTCTTCAGAATAACACATACCAGTATTTATTCACATCACAAATATTCACATTGGGTCCATCTGGATTTCTCACCTGTGTATTTGTATGTGTAGGGTAGCAGTGAAGGTCTAGACACCAGCAGTCGGCTGGCCACTGCCCTCAGATCTCTGGCTGATGAATTGGAAACGGGGATGCTGGAAGTTCGCTCCACTCACATGAAGAGAGACTTTATCATGAACAGACTGCCACCATATAGCCAGCAGCTGCTCACACCTTGTGAGTCCGTTTGTGGTTATTGTGTGTGTGTTCCAGTATCTACAGGGGGACCGTATATGACGTGCTCATTTTGTTTGTGTCCCTCTCTCTCTCTCTCTCTCAGCTGAGAGGATTCCTGCCTTGGAGGATATGGTGTGTTTGAGGTGTAAAGACCACATGGTAGTAACAGTGGAGCAAAGTCAAGAAAGAACAGTAAGTCCATTAAGGCCGTAATTTTAAGAATCTAGGCGATAATTGAATCAGATATTCATCATTTTTCCAATTATCAGAATCCTGCCAGCAATGGTCAGATATCCAACAAAAAAATTGTGTGCATGCATGTGTGTTTGTTTTCCAGGATGAGGCCACAGAGCTGGTTGTCTTTGTCTTACATTCTTTGAAGAACCAGAGGGAAAGCCACATGATGGGTGAAGTTTGTGATGAAGAGGAGGAACATGATGTCTCCAAGGTGAGCTGTTGACTCACTGTTCTCTTGCTGCGGTTCTTGTAGTGCTGACAGGATGACAGTGATTTTTCTTTTTTCACCCCCTAAATTGGAAACACTGCAGACGTAAATGCCCCCTAATAAAACCTGTTTGTACCATATTATTTTGAAAGAGCAACGGCCAATGGGGAAACTCAGTCACGTAGCATTTGGCTGACCAGTGGTGAAGATATGATCAGTGAGTGAGTGAGTGAGGGACGAACGCACTCACGCACGCATGCAAGCTCTTACAGGGCTGACCCTGCCGTTGTGGTCCGGCCAAAAAGGAAACTATATATGAATGATCTCTGTATTAAACGAAATAGGCCAGGATAAGAATATGTGGACTTGGGGCTGACTTCCTTACACATGGTAGAAAGTCAGGAAGTATTGAGTGACTCTGTTACAAATCAGTGCGGGGTGGGGGTGTGTTAGCCATTGCACAGCAAAAAAAAAAGGGGGGTCGGCGAGTCTGGCTCAGTCTGTGGTCACAACTGCTGACGTACATTTTGATAGCAGTGGACACAAATGAATACCTGAAGCACTCTGTCCTGTACCTAGGTGAATACATAAAGTACTGGCCAGGCGCAGTCCTTGATATATGTGATGCATGTGTAAATGTTTTGTTGATAATTTCCCCAGTTGTCCAAACCCAGAAACTTATTTTTTTGTCTCTGCAGGGCTTGAAGTTCCCTCTGTCCCACCTCCAGGCCCTGCGACAGCTCCAACAGGCAGAGCAGCTGGCTGTGGCCCAGCTCCAACTGCCCACCCAGGAGGCCAAGCTCAGTCTGGTCCTGGCTCTCTGGAGTGAGAGCCTGCTGGAGGTGCTGTAGCACACCACTACATCAAAATATGACTGAAGTGAAGTATTACATCAACGTATGTTGATTTTTACAAATCCTTCTAAATGTTTCTCCTCGCCTTATTCTGTTTCCCTCCTGAATAAAGTTGGCACAGCTCCAGCAGTGCAGGATCTGAAGCTCTGATCTCATGTCACCAGCTTCTTTGATGCGATCTCTCATTCAGCTTTTATTTCATCTGTTTTACTTTTTTAAAAAAAAAAGTGTGTTTCAGGAGTTTATTTTCTATCATCTATAGTGCTGCCCCCAACCAAAGATTTTCCTGCTCACCACACCAACATAATAACTCATAATGAGCCTATATACTTTTTACAAGCACATGATATATAATAACACATATTTATCTAGGCTGTTTAACCTCAGAGCACATAAAAACCGAAGGTATACAGTGTTACCTCTTTAAATCCACCTTAACCTGCAATGGTCCAAAGGCTTATTTGAAACAATTCATTTAAGGCCACTAAGACCAGAAATTGGAATAAACAACAGTATTTGATACAGCCATTATCTACATGTATGGATTGAACCACACAACATGCCTTGTGTTGGTTTCAAGTCTGGATTATTATTTGTTTGCTTTATTACAAACATCAGTTTTGAATGGCATTCTTGTACTTCTGGAAGAGAACATGTTCCTGTTTCACTCCTACTTTCTATATAAGAGGGGATGTAGATTATTATTATTTTTTTTAGTTATGAAAGATTTATGTACAAGCATTAAGGTATAGAAAAACATTTGACAAACAAGGGACATCAGATGAGAAAGAGCAGTCTGAATAACAAAGAATAAAAAACATTTAGGTAAACAAAAACAAAATAATATGAAAATGAAGTCATGAATGAAAAAAAAGAGTTCTACATATGATCTTTTCAGTTCTTCATCAGCTCTAATGAGAGACTTTGCGTGAGTTGACTGTCCACAGTGTCCCTGTTAACGACAGAAGACAGGTTTTATCTTCCTTCTTTTAGATGTGTGGATGAAGAATTTAGACAGAAATGTTAGGTTACTGAACATCATATCACTTTTCTTGTGGTGATACAGCAGTCCTGTAGCATGTCACAGAGTACATACAATATAAAAAAAATCTTTATCACAAAAACTGCACTTAATGTGTTTTAGTCTTACTATGGATTTAAAATGGACCCATATTGTCTTGGGCACAGAAAATTTCTAATTTTGAGCACATGACTGATTTACCTTCGTACAGTGGTGCATGAAGTACTCAGATCTTCTTAGGAGATAATAAGAATTTTGACATGTAGAAATAGCCTACTCTGTTCCAAGAAAAATTCCTGTGCTGAGAATTTTACTAAAATAAAAGTAGAATAATATTAATATAAATAAAGTGCTTAAAGAAAAACTACAAATTATGCAGGATAGCCTATTTCAGAAAATTATTGATTTATGATTATTGATGCACAAACATGTAAGTGTCATTAATTACGCTACATACCTAGTTTATAGCACTAGATCATTTATTTGTTGAATATGTTTTCTATCAATAATCTGAACTTGCAAAGTGACTAAAGCTGTCAAATCAAAGTGAAGCATAAAGTACAATGTTTCCCTCTGAAATGTATTTGAAGTGTAAAGTAGCATAAAACGCTTCCCTGCATAAATTTTCATCACATTCTCTCCAAATCCCTGTCAATTTGAGGAATGTAGTCTTTTATTTTGCGGTAAGACAAAGTCAGAATCAGATGTTGAAAAAGACAAGTTCTATATAATTTGATATGATTCACTTGTTTCTTTTGTAGTTCATGTTTGATTCTGTAAAGTTAATCATTAGAGTTTTGAAAGAATTCCTCTCCTAAATGCAGCTTAAGATTTTCTTTCTGAAAGTAATGGAGTGATATTAGAGGATACTGAATATAATGGCTCTGAAACCTTGCCAATATACAGTGGCCCCTTCACTTTTTAAATGGATCAAATTTTCATACACTCAATAAATCATCAATGGCAAAGTGAAACTTTTGAAAATTTAATAAAAAATCAATAAACTGAAATCTCTCAAGTACAAAAGTCTTCAGACCCTTTACTGTGGCTCCAGATTGTGGTCAGCTTCTTCCTCTTTGCTTTAATTATTCTTGAGAATGAGGCCAGCTGTAGGAAACTGAATTGTTTGAACATTGTTTAGAAAGACACATACCTGTGTATATCACATCCCACAATTCACACTGCATGTCGACAAAAACCAAGACATGAAGTCCAAGGAACTCTCCGTAGACCTTCATGATAAAATTGTGGAGAGCCTTCGATCAGGGCAAGAGTATTTAACCATTTCTAAAGCTTTGGAGTATGAATTATTCAATATCTGAAATGGAAGAAGTCTGGAAGCAACCAACTGGGCAAGAAAAGCCTTGGTCAGGGGAGGAGACCAAAAACTGAACAGTCCCTCTAATAGAGCTTCAGAGGTCCTCTACAGAGATAGAGAACCTGCTGGAAGGATGACCATCTCAGCAGCTCTCCATCAGTCAAGCCTTTATGGTAGAGAGACTAGATGGAAATGTGACAGCCTACTGGAGTTTGTCAAACAGCATTTGAAGGACTCAAAGTAGGAGGAACAAGATTCTTGTTCCAGGAATAGAAATCTTTTCAAAGAGTTTGGGGAGGAAATTTCTACAATTCTGAGAACTTTTACTTATACAAAATTAATCCTATGCGGAGATTGGAATTCCATTAAAAATCCACTTTTGAACTGTATAGCCTACCTCCGCAAGTTGTAAGAGTGAATAATACAGAGTTTAATAATGTATAAATCTAAACTGTTTTGACATATTTTGAAAAAGTAGGTGGTATTATGTCAGGATTCCTATTGAAGTCCTCCTCTACTGCAATTTTGATGTAAATAAAATTCCTGTTAAATTGTCTAACTACCATAAACAAGTGTTATTGTCCCCATGATTAATTATTTATAAACACATATGTTCTCCCCATAAATGTTTAATTTGGAACAATAAAAATATTAGATTTAAACATAAAATATTGATAGCTGGATTAAAAATGACATACTGTTGGTGACACAATTACCAAATGAAAACAGACTTTTACTGACATACAGAATTCCTCAAGAAATATGGAATTCAAGTAACTGGTCTATTGAGAATAATGCAAGGAACTGGCATGGTATTGGCACAAAAAATGTGATAATAGTCATATTAGTTTACTAATTACTTTGCCAGAGGTTCACAACTCCTGCCTAGTTGTCATAGAACTCTAGATTTGAAAATATTAAGAGGACGTCAGCTTGGAATTTTAATAATACAGAATCTAAAATATATGAATTTAAAATTATACATTTGATTTATCCTGTAACCTAGATACTTTCAAGATTCTGTGACGATATTGACAGAAAATGTGTATTACGCATAGTATCATTTTATTAAAGCCTTGTGTATGAAAAAGTTTTGGTTCAACTATTCATTTAGAAAAAAACTTAAAAAAAAATTTATGATGATACTGATTGTAAAAAATAAAACCACAAAACAATTCAAAGTAGTATTCTGACACTATATTGATTCATCACATGGATCAATGGAAAAATAGTAAATAAATAAAAACAGAAACTTTTTTGTTAGATGGTAACCCTGTAGATATAGTTTTGCGGGTTTTTTTTTAAATACCCTGAATATTTTTATTTCATTGTCTTTATTTATGGGTTGCATTATATTTTATTTTATTTATTCATTTAGTTGTATTTTGTATGTATTGTCCATATCCTCTCTATCATGTATCTTATTTCAGAAGTTTTGATCGATTGTATCTCCCACTTTGAATATTTAATAGTGTAATAGTCAGCCGAAGTCGATGTCGAATGTTATGCAATTTATGATAGACGACCCCGGGCAGACAAAATGTTTGCAGGGAGGAATCATGGGAAAGAGCGCCATGGTAACGGCAGGGTGCACATAAAGCCCGTAGACCTACAGCGGAACTACAGCGTAAGAGTAGCTAACATGACCGGACAGTTTTTATTGACGCACCCAGGTACCCGCCATGACATGAATGTATGATATAGTTGACAACACCACCGAGGTAAACGGATTTATTTCTGCTAATCTAGGCTGTATCTCACAGTGTTCTGGTGTTTGTTCGTTGTCTGTAATGTTCCGCCCCACATACTGTAGGCCGCTGTCAACGTTGTAGTCTGAGTCAGAGCCGACAGCGTTTAATTCAATGTTGTGATTTTGCATGTTACAAACTAAGGCGATAGCAAAGTCTGCTACATCTGGAATTGTTACATTTCATTTCTTTATGAGAATAGCAGGAAATACATTTTCAATAGTTTTTAATTGGTATTTTTGGTTTATCAGTTCAGCCAAGCAAATGTGTGTTCGATAATGTGTGGTGGATAAATAACGAACGATTCATTCGAAAGTTTGATTTTAGTTCAAATTAGTACCTATATGCTGAGTTTGATGACGTTTGACGATTATTAATGATAAAGTGAATTTCTTTGTGTTTTTACAGGAGGTTGTAGAGAGCGATTTTTGAACGTTTTTTTTCTTCTTTTCTTCATTTCTTTCTTTTTTTTTTTTTTTAACAAAACATAAGGTGTGTGGTCCTTCAGCATTCAAACAAATATAGTAATGGAGAACAAGACTAATCACAACCAACATTTACCAATTATAAACTCCTTCAGCATCAGTGTAGTTTAAATGTGAGTGTGGGTGGGCACGAACAGATGGCACAGGTGAAGGTATGTCATTGTGAAATGCCTCATTTCTTTCATTTGTATGTTTTCTTCCTCCCTTGACTGTAAAGTTCAAGCCTGACTGTTTCCTCTGTTAGTCCAATCTGCCGATCATCTCTCTTGTAGCTGATGTTGGCCTCTCTGTCCACAATGATGTCACATGGTTTCAAGAGCAGTAAGCAGGACTTCACCTTTGGACCATGGAAAGTGACTGCTGCGAAAAACCACATCATGAAATCCAAAGACATTGAACGGTGAGATGTTCCTTTTACTTTAGTATTTACTTTTAACTTTTACTTGTTGGTGGAGGATTTACCAGGTAGTAAGAAAAAACGCCAGAGCCTCGTGTGTCATGGATGTCCAAGAGACAGTCATGAATGTCTCTTGGACATCGCACGGCAACGTAGTAATATGTCACAAAGAATACTTCAACCTTCTGAGGCTGTACTCTAATGTTCCTCTTGACTTATCCAAACCATGTGAAGCACATTTTCAACACTCTCTGCTTGTGTGTCACAGGCACGTTGCACACCCGCTGTTGCAGGTGCATATTACTCTCTTGACAATGCGCCCTTAAAATAGAAGTGAAATACTGCACCACTGACTGAAGACCAGGTTTTTGTTGGTCAGCCCCTTTCCATCACCTTAAGATAACAATGTGCCAACAATGCACATGACTACTCCTCGATATAAGACAAGTCTCGGTTAGAAGTGTATTTGCTATTTTAACAATCTGTCAAATTCAATCTGTTCTGCTCTTCAGTGGTCAGCTGACTGGGGTTAGTGTGTTGTCAACAGTGGAGTTACACCGATGTGTGGTTGTTGGACTAATGGAAGATACTGGTAATAAAATAGTTCAGGTACCTATTACTGTAATTTCTTGTTGCTTATCAGCTGTTATAAACATGAGTACTGATTTATTTGTAATTAGTATCCTACATCCATTGTATTTGGCATCCTTGTTTTTGTGGTTAACATAAAACTTCACAAAGCAGCGTGATGAGGAGTCGTCACTGCAGCTTCACAATACTGAGGCCACGAGGTGCAGTCCAGCTGCTGAGCTGACACCAAAGTCACACAATAATTACAGAGTACAGAGCAAAGCAGCTCATGAGCTGTGATACATAAAAACACCCTGTTATTTACAAATCAATTGTCTTTCACACTTAATTGACAGAAGAAAGGGTAAGGCTTTCTGAGCAGGGCAGAGGTGCACACACTTAAAATTACAGATGACAAGACATTAGATTTTAATTGGATTTTATGTATTTCATTATTATTATTGTTATCATTAATTAATAGAAAAGCTAATGTTTGAGAACCCCCTGCTCTCCCTCGCCATTATGCTGTGTTTTAATACAGCTAGTTGCTCATTTACAAATGTTTCTGTTTTTGAGGTCAGTTACTAAAGCAAGTTTGAAATAATGATTTAATGGCAGCTCATACTTAACCAGCAAACAAACAAGATTCAGTGATCTTATAATTATTCTCTGATCACGACATATTCAACATGAGTATATGTTAATGACAACAGCTGCACTGTGTGATCAGTGATACTCACTGACGATGGGATATCATAGGAGGCTATGATGCCATAGCCATCGAGAAAAAATTATGTGGATGAAGGGTACTCTATACACTTCCAGAGATCCAGATGCTTTTATGCCTGTACAACAGGGAAAATGTCAGCACAACAACTCTAAATTAGAAAAGTTTCTGTGGAAGAACAGTGGACATTGAAACAATGACGGACTGCTGACTGAGCTGAAGCACAGCTGTATCACATGATGCAAATGGATCCTGTGGGTATTTATATATTTCACTCGTTGTACACATCATTATCCAGAATGAAGCTGGGGAAAAGGCAGATATAGAATATTCTGTGTCCTCACACAGAAAATCAAGAGTTTAACAGGTAAAAGTATTTTAATACAAAAACTACAGTTATATTGATGAAACTTGAACTGAAGTGTTGTTTGTGTCCTGGTTTCAGCTGTTTGCTGTTTGTCTTTCCAGGTTAGCTGAAGAGATGAGCATGCCCCTTCCAGAGATGCTGTTTGGGGACAACATCCTGCGCATCCATCACACAGATGGCTACGGAATTGAATTCAATGCCGTCGATGCCCTTAAGAGAGTTAACAACATGGAGGATGCTGTCAAGGTGGCCTGTGCTCAGGAATGGCAGGAGAGCAGGCAAGATGAGCATCCGTGTGTTACCCAGGCCGGAGCTGGAGCTCTGATTTGTTAACATTTGAATTGTGAAATGTGATATGTGAGAGCAAAAAACAGCCGTACTACTAAAAAGAAACAAATAACAGATAATAGAAAAACTGATTCTCAAACATTGATAGTAGTTTCAGTGCAGCCTGTTTGACATCAGGATATTTCTCTGTTGGTCCCCTCCCTCAGAATGACCTGCAGTCTCTCTATACACAGTTTAATCACGTATTTAAGATATGATGTATATACCGTCCACCGGTAGAGATTTGGCAAAGCCGTTTCCACCGAGGCACCTACCCTTAAGTGTCTGTGCTGTATATTTGGGGCAGGCAGTGATCTCATGAATCTGGCTGCTTCGCAATGTAACATGATTTGTGCAGCAAGATTGCCATGTTGTCACATGACACGAGAGCGACAGTTGGTGGCAGTAATGCACCTCTGAACTGGTCTGCCAACAGCTGCAGAAGAGGAGATTGACTAGAACGATGGAGAAGGAAATTCATTTCATTTTATTTCACAAATCAGAAATAATACATAGAATACAGGTATACAAACATAATAATAGTAATGGGTGAAAATGGGACTCCCCAATAAGCAGGGGATGTCTCAACCAACTCAAGATAACAGGAGATTATTTTAAACCATTTCTACATTGAATTTACAGAACAGTTAGTGCAGTGTTTCCCATACAGTGTTACTCGTGGCACCACATAGTGTTTTGATTTTGATATTGATTCACTTAGGCCCTGCTTGCCACTCACTCACTCACTCACTCACTCACTCACTCACTCACTCACTCACTCACTCACTCACTCATTGACACTGGACCTGTCTGTCATAGTGACACTGGCCATCGGGAGCATCAAGCCTCAGCAATGGGGCATCAAAAAAATCCATAAAGCTTTTTACCGTCCTGTGTCTTGGCTGACCCTCTCTGTGCAACTGTCATTTGTACACATGAGAGTGTGTTTCTGCGTGTGCCAGGACTGGAGTTGGTGTGGGTTGTTATTTATTTGACGCAATGTGAAGCTCTGAGTTGTTAACATGAATCTCTGTGATCTCCTTCAAGAGCTGATTCTGAACACTCCAAAGAGGTGGTGAGACCTTATGACTGGACGTACACCACAGACTACAGAGGCACTCTGATAGGAGAGGGTGTGCAGATACAGGTGGTTCACTTTCCTTAATGGAATGGAACACATATCATCCACACCTGTGTTATGTGTTTCGTTTTGTTTTATATATTGTGTTTCTACCTGTTGATGTTGTTCTGAAGGTGACTGAGACGGCAGAACGTATCAACATGGAGAAGCTGAAGGCTCGGGAACAGATCATGTTCTTTGATGACGTACTACTGTTCGAGGACGAGCTTCATGACCACGGAGTCTCAATGATCAGTGTCAAAATTGTGAGTGCTGTCTTTATGTCCAACAGCTGATACTGTTGATTCAAATGAGGACCAGATTTATTTTTTTTTAACACAAGAGGAAGACAAATCTTTCAGTCCGTATATAATTATAGCCCAATTTAGGCAGTAGCTCCTTTTAAATCTTCATTTATTCAGGGAAGTTTCACCCAGAGCCCAGCTCCCTTTGCAGGAACCATACTCACATAGGTACACACATTCACACCTGAAATCTGACTATAATTACAAACCACAGTTGTATTCTGGGAGAGCAGCGGGAGAGCTCGGCAGGCAACGTTCAATGGTGGGAATTGGCTCACAAAAGAAATGTTCCTGACGGATTCCAAAACTTGTTTCTTACATGTCTGTATTGACTCATTGAATCATGATATAATTTTGCTGTGTGTCTTGTTGATGATGCAGAGGGTGATGCCCACCAGTTTCTTCCTGTTGTTGCGCTTCTTCCTACGAGTGGACGGAGTGCTGATTAGAATAAATGACACACGACTGTATCATGAGGCAAGTTGTTTTCCTCCAACCAGAAACAAAGTACAGTGCAGGGTTTTCTACTGAGTCATAGAATTTAAATGTTGCACAAGTTATACTACACGGTCAAGGCTCTAACGAGTAATGAATGGTGATCCTGTTTTTGATTCCAGGCTGGGAAGAATTACATGCTACGAGAGTTCAGCACAAGGGAAAGCAAAATATCAGAACTGAAGGTCAGTTAAGTCCTAATGACAAGCTACAAGGCACAGGACTCTGGTCAGGGATCTGGTCTTTGCTCAGGGCTCTGGTCAGGGATCTGGTCTCTCCTCCAGGCTTTGCTCAGGGATTTGGTCTCTGCTTAGGACTCTGGTCAGGGTTCTTTCTGTTCAGAGTTGTTGTATATTTCCAATGTGTTGCATTTGAAAAACACTATAGCCAATGAAATTTACCTATGGTACAGCATTAGCATGTATTTGAATAAAAGCTATAATTTTGTTTGATGACTAATTATAATTTCACTTTTAATTGACACCTTCATTCATCAGAAGATTTCATGTAAAGCCTATGTTAAAAGAATATGGATTTAAAATCATGAAGTGCAGTAGTTATTATTGTCAGTGTAACAGATGTTACTCTCTCCTCCAGAATGTCCCTGCTTCTCTCTACACTGATCCCAATGAGATTGCCCAGCATTTAACCCTGAAGCTGACAGTGTGTGAGAAGCTGGAGCTTCCTGTAATAGAGCCTCAGACAGCTGCTGATGAAGCCCCTCAGTGACCAACATACTACAAGGTCCACATTGATGCTCTGCATGATGAAAAACAAGAATAGTAGTCTTAAACCACACCCTTCATTTTACAGTATCATAATCATCGATCTCTCCTTCAAAAATCCGAGGAATCGTTTTTACATGAATAGTTTTTATATGTGGCCACTATGATGGTGTGTTCTCAAAATGATGCACTGTTAGACAGAATCTTTTACCCCAGTTAACCACACTTTGCTCTAACATCTGGCTTTAATTTTTGATTTGAACTGATTTCTATTTTATTTTTCAGTGTCAACTTAACATTGTGTGTTTAAGACAGTTGTTAGTATGTCACTACTGTATTTGTAAAAAGCTACGCAAAACAATAAAAAAGTTGTCACGAATTTTTGTAAATATGGGAACTGTTTTTTCTACACTGACTTACAGAAGGTGAAAAGGCTTGTTTTTCATGTGCAAGTTAAAAACCTTGAGAATCTATGTGAATATGTCGACCATGTGGCCAAATAAATGTTTGTGTAAATATAGCTAGCTTACTTTGCTTGCACTGGATTCTTGTTTTCTTTTGAGGAATGATCATGGTGTACTTCAGCTGTGCAAAACGCCATAATGGGTTCCTACCAGTAAGAATCATCAATATGACAAATAACAAAAATTACACAACTAAAATAAGGAATTATTCATCCACCCCCACTGCTGAAATGGGTGTCCAGCTGTTGTAGTTTTTTTAAACCTTTGGGGGAAAAAAAAAGAAAAAGAAACTTTACAATTGCATGCAAAAGGTTGGGAAACCCTGGGAAAATTATATATTTAAATTATTTTTGTGAAACCCCTTCAAACCCTGCAGTTTTTTTAATTTAATTTCATTATCGTATGTACCGCAGTTTGGACAATCTTCTACTGGTAAAGTGTCAAAACTTCCATTAGTTGTCAGCTGATGACAGTTTCAGAGCTTTTAACCTCTGGGCACCTGATCTGAAAATAAAGCAAATTTGATTTGAGCCTACCAAGCAGGGGGGCATATAAAATAATAACAATAATAAAAAAAACATGTTAGTTTCTCTCACCATTTAATGCTTATCTTTTTTACTTCACATGTTCACACACATGTTCACTCAGCCACAGAGATTTTTCAATATGTGATCTGTGATTGGTCAGCTATTACTGCAACAGAGAAACTACACTTTATGTCAGTCTTTCATTTTCATCTAAATGTTGTTTGGCAGTAAAATCATCAGAAAAATAAAAGCTTTTATCTGACAAAATTTGAAATCTGTTTTATTGTTTTAGGAGCCTGTCAGAAAATACTTAAATACATGACAGTAGCACAGGTGGAGTGGCAAGTGGGTCGTTACATTCTGTGATTTTGGGGCTCTAGTAGAAGGATGTTTTCTATAAAGCACTTAGTGATCATTCTTTAAGTTGTTATGTCACTATGGCAATTTAAAAACAGCCTGTGCCTCTAACAATCACTTATCCACTTATCTTCTCTGTGTTGGTGCAGAGGAGTCAGCAGGAGACAACAAACGTGTGTGTGTGTGTGTGTGTGTGTGTGTGTGTGTGTGTGTGTGTGTGTGTGTGTGTG